AAAAAAAAAAAAAAAAAAAAAAAAAAAAAAAAGGATTACTGGAGAGACCCGATTGGTAGGCCCCCACAATGCCCAACGATGATAATTCACGTCCGTGAAGATAATCTACAACATTCCAAATCTGATATGGTTGTCCCAAGGTATGATGCGTGTATGCACACATAGGTTAGGTTACATTTTTTCCTATTCTGGATATGCTCCGTCATTGTGACCCCAGACTTGAGGATAGAGGCTCAAATGCTATCAGCCAAACCTACCCAAGGCAAACCCACACTCAAATCACCTTCTTTTTTTTGGGGGGCGGGGGTGGTGTGGGGGGGTGTAACTACGGTGCAGTCACGAAAATAGTAGTTTGTAATTGCATTTCAAACTGCTTTGTACCAGTTTGGTCAGGGCCAGAGTTTGAAATGCAATTCAGTCAGGATTGGAATAAGTGTCTGAATCTGGACGTGTTCCACACACACACTGATATGCAACAAAGTAGATCAACCACTTTTTTTTTTTTTTGCACCTGACCTCCAACACGTCCACATTCAGACACTTACTACAATCCTCTTCGCCAGTGGGATCTCGCCCTTTTAGCAGTTCAGTCAGGGCCCAAGTTCTAAATGCAGTTCAAATTCGGGCTGCCGCCTTTTGGTAGCGCTTCAGGCTGCCATGTTGACGACGGGCCGTCGGTAGAAAAGAGGAAAAAATGGAAACAGTACTTGGAAGGACATGATGTGGGGAAGGCCGTGAGGAAGGCTATATGAGAGGAAGGCGCTTATAAGAGCGCACACAGTTACTTTGCAGAATGGGGTTGACCACTACTACCTTCTTCCCCCGAATTTGAGGCATCTTTCAGTCTAGATGCAGCTAGAATGACCATACGTTGTATTCGGGGGAAGAAGGTAGGCCGAAATCCTTGTTGTGTTTTCTTTTGTTTTCATGCTGATGTAGGGGACGGGCGTGAGGAAGGCCATACTCACACTGGTACTTCGGAGAATGCATCTGACCACTCTTGGGGTGAAATCTATGTACTATGTAGAAAAAGAAAAATGGGGTAATTTCAGTAGAGTCACAAAAACGAGTCATAATTGCACTAGGGAGCAAGATACAGTTTGCAATTGCACTTGAGACACCCTACTTGGCCTGGCCCAGAAAGCTGGGTTGTATACATTGCCCAAACTGCAATTCGAAACGGTATCTTGGCCCATACTGCAATTACACCTCATTTTTGTGACCCCCGCGTAGTTTCCCTAAGAAGGAAAAAGAATCATAGCTGTAGCCGTCAATGAGGGTAAATACAGGACGGGAAGCACCACTGTGAGTATCCCCTCAGCGGGGAGCTTCCAGCATAGCCTGGAATACGCCCGGCCTCTCTGTCCGGGCACACAAAAAAGAAAAGAAAAGAGAAAAGAAAAATATGGATTTCACCCTTAGAGCTGGCAGATACATTCTTCAAAGTACCAGTATGAGTATGGCCTTCCTGAGCTTCCTCACGGCCGTACCCCACATGACATCACTGGAAGGCACATACGAGTACACTGGTTCATTGCACAATATATCTGAGCACTCGTAGGGCGAAATCCATCTACAAAAAGGATGAACAATGTATCTGACCACTCCTAGGGCCAAACCCATCTACAAAAAGGAAAACCACGAATCATAGCCCGTAGATACAGTTGAGGAACCCCCACTGTGAGTATGCCCTCAGCTGGTATTTCCGTTTCCAGCAGAGCGTGGAATACGCCCCCCACCTGGCTGTCAAGGCACTCACAAAAAAAAAAAAAAAAAAAAAAAAAAAAAAAAAAAGAGAACGTGGATTTGGAGTGGACAGATCCTTCTTTCTTAAGGAAAAAAAAAAAGAAAAAAAAGAAAGAAAGACAAAAGAAAGGGGGGCATACTACCTCAGAACGTGATTGCCTACCCTGTATGACTGAAGTGAAGTGCCACCAAAGGGCAGCCCGAGTTTCAGCTGCATTTCAAACTCAGGCCCTGACTGAACTTCTTAGAAAACGAAGTTTTAAATTTTATTTGCTTTTACAAACTCAAACCCTGAGTGCGCCTTAGTTTTCCCTTTTTTTTTTCTGTTCGAGGATGTAGGTGGCAGGATCCTCACACTTAGAAGTTAGATCACACTCAACTCACAGTTAGGGCACGCTTAGCTCAAACTTAGATCACAATTAGCTAACATTTAGATCACATGCAAATCACACGTAGAACAAATATTTAGAGCACAAGTAGATCACACTTAGGCCTCTGGTTTAAAATTAAATAATAAGAAAAAAGGATCACACGTAGAACACACTTAGATGAGAGTCATGAGACATAGAACACACATAAATATATATATATATATATATATATATATATATATATATATATATATATATATATATATTTATATCAAACGTAGATCTCCTTCGAGAGGGACTAATGCCATTAGACCAAGAGCAGAGGATATTACAAGTCTTGTGGAGTGCACCTCAGTGAAATGACCAACTCGAATGCTAGAGATGATGTTCAACGAGGAGTGAGTGACGGTCGTCCTTCCTCTGCTGCGTGCAAGTGCAGAGCCACCAAGCTTGAAATCTTCTCTGCTCACCCCCAAGAGAGGCATTTCCCTATTCTCACGGACACCACCAGCTGGCGACCCTCTCTTGGCCAAGCTAATGTGGCTATGGGTCTAAGGATGCCTCCTCCTGCCGAGGCACTTTCACGTTCTCAGTTAATAAACCCAGTGCTGGATCATTTTTGCTCGCATCTATCACGGTAATCGGTGGATGCTCGGTAGATGCTCGTCGACGATGGCAAATGGGCACACAATAGGGAAGCAGGACATCACTCACAAAATAGGGAAGCAGGACATCACTACACACCTGAGGTACCAAACATTAAGGACATTTAAAGAGATCATTAGCTCCCTCCTCCTCTACTGCTTGAAACGCCCTGACAAGCGCTAATCAAAACAACACGTAATCACACACACGCGCGCACACACACACACACACACACACACACACACACACACACACACACACACACACACTCAACCTCCTCATGAGTCGGTGAAAGTCCGACGAAACAGTCTCTCTGGCACAGTCATGCTTTTTGTGAGTGTATAGCGAATATGACAACACACATAAAAATAAAAATAAAAAACAAACAAAAAAGAAAACATAAGCACACAGAGAGAGAGAGAGAGAGAGAGGATTTGACGAGAGTCTGTTTGTCTTTCAGAGGAGGATGGAGCAAGCATACCTGATCGTCCTGCTTAGAGTCTGGCCGTTTGGCACAAGTTACATATAGGATGCAAGGAGTCTGGTCACCCATGACAGATATGACAACGATAAGACAGGGTCACAATAGGGGTATAGCATCCTGGATTGATCTACCAGCTACCGAGCTTTTCCAGATGGGAGCAGTGCGGCATCTACTTCGTCTACTTCGTCCACTCCACTTCGTCTAGCGTCTGAGTCTCGCGCCGCGGATGGCCTTCAACTTAACATTGACCCCCTCTCACCTCATACTTAGAACCCAGCCATTCTGGCTGCACCCACACACTCTATTGTGCATCGCCATCCTCTACAGCTATTCGCTTGCGTGTGAACCGGTCGGCAGCTCCTCTCCTCCTCTCTCCATCTGCTCCCTCCATCCCTGGTGCTTGATCATAACGACTGCTGCCGCTCCCTCCCGCTCGGTGCACGAAATGCTGCCTTCTCAGAGTTAGCACTTCTTCCACTTGAAAGCGAACAGGAGCTCGAACTTTGAGTCCGACGAATCGAGCCCAACCAGGGCCTTGGCGCCCTCCACGCGGACCACATGCTTGATGTTCAGGTTGGGAACGTCGTTGCACTTGCTGTAGACCTCCGTAAAGAACACGTCGGTGAACTCGAAGTTGCCTTTCTGAGGGCCGGGCAAGGTGCGCGTTATGGTGGGCGTCCCCTGCTGGCCGGAGAAGTAGAACTGCGTCTCGTAAAAGCCCGTGGAGCCGGCGGCGACGTCCCGGAAGCCGCGGCCGGTGACGGTGCCCAGTGTGAAACTCCAGCCCTTGGGATAAGTCAGCGAGAAGGAAAACTGGCAGAACTTGCGCGTATCCGGCAAGCCCTTATCGGTGGTGGCGATCATATTGCCGAAGAGGACTGTGAGAACGTCGTAAGGGGGAGGCAACGCAGCGCTGCTATCGCTATAGCTGCAACCGGTGCCGCCCCAAACGACCAATGAAATTTCTACCTTCGGTGGGCCTGCGAAGGCAGGCGTGGCAACACTCAGGATCGTCACGATGGACAAAGCCACCATGACCGCCATCGCTGGAAGCAAGCTGCGCGCCATCGCTCTCGCGCTCGAAAGGTACAGCTTCAGCACGCCGTTCGACGGGATGGGTAATCTCCGGCTTGATCTTCTTCCTCTCTTCGCCGCTGAAGATGCAGGGGAGGAGCTCGATCGACCGGCAACACTCCGGAGCGGAGCGATGCGATGCGATGGCGCCGTCGTCCCACGTCACTGATCGTCCGCTCGAGACTCTCCCGCAGCGCGCCTACTTCGAGAGCAAGCCTTGATTGGAAACTGTACACTACTTGCTTGCCAACCCGTCTGTATATATATACACTTGCGGCCTAACACTGGATGTGATTCCTCAAAATCACTACTGACGAAAGCAGAAAAAAAGAAAAGAAAAGAAAAAAAAACATGAGGTGGTCTCTCGCTAGGAGCGTTCTATGTTACGCCAGCTGCCCAGTCGGGGGGCCACCTCCCACCTGTCCCGATTGTTCATTCCGGACCGTTATTAATTGCATCGATCGACGACCCGAAATGAGCAATTCTGGCGGGTGGGACTGCGCCTCGCCGGAAAATATACGTGTCATCCTTGAGTGCGCGGGGGCCATGCTACGCTGGTCTTTCTCTTTCTCTGTATCGTTCCAGTTTTAACGGATGTCCCCAAGGAATGTGCTGTGCATTTCGTTTCACGTCTTATGAGCAAATACTCCGAGGTCCCTCCGCGGTCCCTCGGGACATCAGTTAAAATTGGAGCTATACAGAGAAATGGTCCTTTAGCATGGCCCGTTCGCAAGGGCTGACATGCATGAATCGAGAAATGGTCCAAATTATTTAAAAAAAAAACAGAAAAAAGAGACTTCGAGGAAGATGTACCCGTCGGAACAGAGCGAGAGCGAACGAGCGAGCGAGCGAGCAACACAGAAGAGAGAGAGAGAGAGAGAGAGAGAGAGAGAGAGAGAGAGAGAGAGAGAGAGAGAGAGAGAGGAAATGCGTGTGGCAAGGAGCCCTTCCTTCACATACCGTGGAGGAGGAAGCACTTGCATTAACAGGGTAGACGAGAAGAGGAAGCACTTGCATGAACAGGGTAGACGAGACGTACAGCGTCGATGTTGCTTGTCCAAGATGAATATAGCCCTGATTCCGGCTAAGTGTGAGTTCCCCCTGGTTCTAAGTAATCGTGCCGTTCACGTGCCGGCCAGGGGCTTTTCAATAGCACACTGAATAGAAGCTAGAAGCTCAGGGAGCAGCAGGCATCAATGATTGCCGCTGTGACGGGACGCACGCTCTCCTCGACGTGAAAACACATGCAGTGTTTGGGCTGGGAGCGATCCGGGTCGGTTGGTTGGTGTTCCCCTGTACTATACATAGACTAGTCAGAGGATGAGATAGATGCCTACTACCAGGAAAGATGAAACAGATGAGAGAAGAATATAGCCCATCGGGGCGTTGATTTCAGGTTCTCTCTCCGTACTGTTTTATTTCGTGAAATCGCGCCTGTACCCCATTTGACGAGGGAATACCTGCTAAGCCCAGTCCGGCGCCCAACTTGCATCTATACCTCGGACCTCTTTGATTCAACTTGCATAGGCTGGACGGAAATCAGCCATTGAGTGTAAMGGCAAAAGGGAGCTTGACTGCAAGACTGACTCGTCTATCAGGGATGAAAGTCGGCCTTAGTGAACCGACGGTACAGAGTGGAAGGGCCGTCGCTCAACGGATAAAAGTTACTTTAGGGATAACAGGCTGATCTTCCCCAAGAGTTCTAAGCCCAGTCCCGCGCCAGACTTGCATCTTCACACTTTTTTACTTCGTGAAATTGCACCTGTACCCCATTTGACGAAGGAAATTACCTGCTAGGCCCAGCACAGCGCCCAAGTTGCAGCTATTGATGCCAAGCTTAAAAACACCCTGCGCACCACATTTTGCCGAGCCTGAAGCGGAGCGATACCAGCACATGGGAAAAGAGGCAGGTACCGGTACCGCCCTCTGTGAAACCTAGGTGCTGGACCTCCGCCAGTATGCCGAACACAAAAGCATCCGTTTTCACTCCCGGGCCGTGGTCCCACTAGCAAAGAGGAGCGGATAGAATGCCTGAATCTGGAGGAGTTTATGGGCATGTTCGCAGCCAGGAATGGCTGCGTTTGTCGTGTAGTGCGGGCTTTCTATTTAGTGCAGGCTTTCTATTTGGGGAATGTCGTGGGACGGCTGACGGAGTATATATGGCATCCTTATGCATAAAAATAAGGTAGCGGTCGCCAACCGGAGACTGACCGGTCGTTTCATGAGGCAAAGTGTTCGTGAGGCGAAGTGTCGGCGGTCATGGGAGGAGGTCGCGTGGTCGTGCGGTGAGGTGCGGGTGGTCATGCGGTGAGGTGCGGGGAGTTAGGGGTCGTATAGGAAAGTTTGGTTGTGTGGTTGTTATCTGTCCGTTTATTATCTTGGCAGGTGGATAGACGGATGGCGAGGCACAAGAAAGTAAAAGGCTTGGGTGGGGGTGGGGGGGGGGGAAGGAGGGGGTTGCTTGTACTGATTGTACTGATTGTATGTATGTGGACACCATTTTGCNNNNTTTTTTTTTTTTTTTTTTTTTTTTTAGGGTCTGCATGTTATTTGGCGCGCTGCCCCAATGAAAAACTGTCGATAGTTTTTTCCATTTCTATATTCGCCCCACCAGGGGAGACACCAGTGGCAGCATGTTGCTAAGTGGCCTAACACTAAGTGCCCGAAGCTGCTGACGCCGGAGCTAGGGTTTGGTCGCCTTGGGCACTGAGCAGTGAGCCCTGATAGTAAGGGAGAATGGATGCGTGATGATTTTTTTATTTTTATTTTTTTTATTAACAAGTCGCAGCTTATATTATAAAAGTAGTTGAATGAGGCCGGGAATCCCTCAACATCTCAACCCGGTAGTGAAGCTTGTGCTGGAAACCAGGTCCAGCGTCCCATGGTCTGCAACTACAAAGAAAGTAAGCAACTGGAGCAAAACTTATAGGAATCCAGAATAAAGGGAAACCCCAATACGAATCTTGGGAGTTCAAATGACAGCTTTAGGCAAACCCCTAGAAAATGACGGATGGCTATCAAGCCCGGTATTTGCCAAACTGTCGCAATGGAACCATCAGCACACATCCCTCTTCGGTCGGGCCTTGATTATTAACAATGTAGTGTTAGCCACCTTGTGGTACAAATCGGTTCTCTGGCCACTGAGCCCAGACGCCCAGAGAACCCTGAAGAGGAAGGTGGCAGCCTATTTATGGAGGGGAGACATTGAAAACCCCAACGCTATAAGCAGGGTGGCGTGGGACTCAGTCATTCAACCTAAGGCAAAGGGTGGCCTTGGTATTTTAGACCCTTTAGGCCAATCCCAAGCACTTAGCCTACAGTGGGTGTTACGACTGATCTTCGAAAATCCCTCGGTGTGGAGGCCACTCGCATTAGAACAGATTGCACGTCTAGCCCCTGAGGCCCCCCGGACCATCCACCCGGTCCGCTGGCTAGACGACTGGTATTGGAGAATTCCACGGCGCTCGCGGGGCATGGAGGGACGACGAGACGATTTCTGGCCCCATTTGTTAAAAATCTGGAGGAAGCTTCCACCCCCAAGTCGCCCCCCTCCCCTTCGGTGGGAAGAAGTGGCAAGACAACCCCTTTTCGGGAACCATTGGATCTCTGACGAACGTGGACATATTTTTTGCAGCTCTGATACCCCATGGAAAGGATGGGTGAAGAATGGTGTGTTGAAAGTAGGAGACCTCTGGGACGAGGGAAAGAAAGATTGGAAGACCCCGGAGAGATTGAGGGAGGAGCTAAGATATTGCCATAATGTAGAGACTGCCTTTGAGGAAATAACGGAGGCCTTCCCGGTGGGGTGGAGGCTCATCTTACGCAAAGGAAGGGTGCTGAAGGAGGGGGACTGGGTAGCCAAGAAAGGGAATGGAAGCAAGGTTGGTCTTACTCATTTGACCCGTCGGGAAAAGGTGCTGATTGAATGGTACAGCGTAGAAGGGAATGGAAGACCGGCAGGGAGCAGTAACCCCTTCCAATGGGTCCAGAAGGACGAGTTACATAGAATCCGGGTGCTAGAGGACGGTGAGGAAAGGCGGGCATTCTCTGCAGAAATAGCTATTGATGCCCTCCCCATCGACCCCTTGGAATGGGTGTGGAACCTGGATCCACGATTCAATCCAAGACAATCCAAACTTAAAACCTTGTCTGGTCTCACAGTCAAATCAGCATATCGTATGTTGAGGATCAAACGCTGTCTAAAAGACACAGTGATCGATCGATGGCAAAGGCACCTCAACGTAGATCGTCACCTTCTAACTCCCATAAGATGGTTCGGCGACACTAAGGGTAAACCTGCAAAAATCACATTGCTGCAGTGGCAGATCCTGCATCGGTGCCTTCCCACCAAAAAATGGTTGATCGATCATTCGCAGTTAAAACAACAGGGCCGAGCGCTCCCTTGGTGCATTCGATGCCAGCAAGGCTTTCCGGTTAGAAAGAGAATAGAAACAATCGAGCATATATTTCTATAATGCCTTGCAGCTGTTCTTACTTGGAGGTGGTGGGACAGGGTATGGCAACAGATAGTCCCAGCGCGACCATGGCCGTGGGATTGGCGGGCTATTTTATTGGGACATTACCCACCATTCCAGGACGATATCTTCCTAAGGAACATGTTCCATCTGGCCCGACGAATGATTCTGTGGATCCTGTGGTGGCAACATTGTGTCCTAACTCTAGACCACGTTAGGGTGGAGGGCGAGGAGAGGATGGAACGACTGAAAATGCACTTCCAATTTGAGCTCTCCCATAGATGGAAATCTCTGAAACAAGCGCTAGACAACCTCCACAGAGTCTCTGACGTTAGGGAACGGCTACTACAGTTCTCTAGGGAATGGTTGGGTGGGGACCGAGGGGGCTGGGTAGCAAAAGTATATTGGTCAGGATCGTGGGAGGGAGAGGTGGGGGGGGAGGGCGACCTCCAAGAACAAGTGCCTAGGGACTACCACCTGAAATTTAAGGAATGGCTGACTGTGGATCACAATATCCCTTTGCGACCGGCAAAAGAATTCCCTGACCCGTTTCCCCCCCACCCATATGCCCTGGAAGTGTGTTCCTGTAGCTGACTAACACATATAACATATATAAGACAAATCCAGTTTTCCTGATGCAGTCAATTCCTGTTTTCCTCTATCTTTCACTGCCTTTCCCCCATTTCTGGCCCAAGTGGTGTCGCTGCCCTTCCTGCTCGCTCTGAGCCGGGCTCGTTCATCTGGAACGCAGATAGAAGGTGATAGGATAGCAAGGCTGTTTTTTGCATATTGTGT